AATTCCTAGTAAGTGTAAGAAGAGGAATGGGACATGATGAGTTGTTCTCTGCTCGTAGTCCATTGTTGTGGCACAGCATGTCAGTTCTTCCTGATATGCTGAAGGAGAAGCCCAGATGGAGAAAGCACATGAGCCAAGTTTCTTACCTTTCTATTTCTGTGATAAACAACATGGCCAAAACCTTATTGGGGAGGAAAGGGTTTATCTTACAGCTTACATTCCATCATGTAGGATAGTCAGGGCAGGAACTCCAGACAGGAAACTGAAGGTTGGAGTTAAAGCATGGGCTAGAGAAAAATGCTGCTTACTGTCTTGTCCCTCATTGATATCTCTGCCTTCCTTTCCTACAACCCACTTTCCAGAGATGGCACAGCCCACAGTGGTCTGGGCCCTCTCACATCTATCATTAATCAAGAAAATGTCCACAGACTCGCCTACAATACAATCTGATGGAGGCATCTTCTCGGCTGAGGTTCCTCTTCCCAGACCCTGGCTTGAATCAATTAGACAAAATGCTACCCAGCACAAGAATATGAGGGACCATCCTCCTAATTTTCATTATACTGTTTTGGCTGAGGGCTGATGCTAGTTTTCTTGGATCCCCAAGTGCTGTCTCAGAATTCACTGTACACAGGGCATCAACAAACTTCCTACTTAAGTCTCTCTAGGTGCATCCAGAAAACGCTCTTCTGGCATCTGAGGTAATGGATTTCAGACATTCTCTACTTGTTACTCTAAAAGTGCAAAGCAGAGCGACCCAATAACTGTCTCTCCTGTGGTGTTCAGAGAACTGAAGGCATTAGTAAGCATTCACAGTCTGCTGCACAATGCAACGTGTAATCTATAGTACAGATAGTCACAATTGAGAAAACCATTCCATGACTGTTTATAATTTGCAAAGATGAGGAGGGAATTAAGGTGCATGCTTCTAAATAATACATGAGTCAAAAGATAAAATCAGGCTAGGCATTGGTGGCACCTGCCTTTAATCCCATCACTCAGGAGGCAGAGGAATGTGGATCTCTGTGAGTTCCAGGCCAGCCTGGTTCCAGAGTGAGTGTCAGGCTCCAAAGCTACACATAGAAAACCTGTCTCAAAAAAACAAAACAAAAAAAGAGATAAACTCTTGAAAAATAAAATTAGAACTGAATGAATGTAAAAGTCAGATAAATCATTCGTCAGTGGGAAGTAAGTGGTAGTAAATGTCTGCCTTAGAAAGAAAAATAAACTAAAGTGTTCGTGTTATGAAATAAGAAAAATACAACAATATAAACCAGAAAACAGAGAACAAACTATATAGGAGTATAAGCAAGAAATTTAAATTTCAAAATTAAATGAATGAAATGAAAAGTTGGCTTTGATATGATCAGTAAAATGGATAATCTATTCATAAAAGTTGAATGGTGATGGAAAATGTCATTTAAAAATGCTGCCAGTCATGCAAAGATGCCATAACTACAGATCCCATATTCATTAAGAAAATATTAGAAAATCTGCACATTCATGTTAATAACTTCCATGCAGGGTTGAGGGATGGGTGAGTTTATGAAGTTCTTGTCTACACCCAGTGAACTAGATTACCAGAAGCCACATGAAAATACCATTCAAGCTGGTGCACACTTGAAACTCCACATTTAAAGCAGCAGAGACAGGTGGGACCCTGTGCTTGATGACTAGCTCTGGTTCTGACCTGGCATGGGGTAACCAGTGTTGGTCTTTCACACACACGCTCCTGTCATGCTCTACCTCCACACAGGTCCCAATAGTAGATCCCACAAGGGTAGAAAGTTCACACTACACCCCATGATACAAAGCATTCGAACCAAATGAAAGCTGAGAACCATGTCTGAAATAACTTTTGCTTTCTACACAGTATCGTGAGTTGAGGCATTCCTTCAAAACTGGCATTTGTTGTAGCACAGTTCAAACACTTCCTATGACTCATAGGAATCAAATTTTCACAGAAGAAGGAGGAAGAGATTGTTGTAATTTTTTAAAAACACAGGGGTTTTTAAAAAAAAACAGAGAGAGAGAGAGAGAGAGAGAGAGAGAGAGAGAGAGAGAGAGAGAGAGAGTTGGCATGTGACTGAGTTCAAGGGGAGGTGATTTTATTAGGTGAAAAGGATCATAAAAGGGGGAGGGGGAAGGAGACCAACCTCAGGAGACAGGAGCAACAGCGAGAGGGAAAATAGGAAGAGAGAGAAATTGAAGGTGGACAAGGCCCTTTTAAAAGGCAACTGAGTGAATATGCACAGGTGGTGCGCTTTGTGGTCTCAGCTAAGCATATATCATGTCAAAACTCCAAAGGCAGCCCAGGAAAAATACCTGAATGCTAACAGAGGAGGAGGGGGGAGGAGTCAAAGGAGAATCAAGGATGTTGATCTCAAGAAATGAAAATTTACACTTGGTAATACTTTAATAAATGTCAATGAAATCATTGCCACTAGATGCAGGGGAAACGGTCCTGACATTTTAAAACACATAGAACATCAATCTTTACAAGTTGACTAGAATCTGTGAACTGAGATGCAGAACACACAGTCCTGTCAGTTTTATAAAGGATAGGCTCAAAATGCCAACTGTTGACTCATTGCAGAGAACAAGAAGTCTGTTTGCTCTCACATGTGTGTAAATAAACAATCAATTGACTGTTATAAATCATACAAAATGTGGGATATTTGCTGCAAACAGCTATTGCACATGCATATGGTTTACATTTGGCTGGACAGCACTGGATGATTCTTAACTCCGAAACTACATACTCCATTAGGTAGACTGTACTAATTATCAGTCGGTGTGGAAACCCTCATAGGCTCCTGAACCACATTACACAGGAACTGATTCCCAACAACAGAAGAAAATAAACAGGTCGCCCACGCATCCCTCCTACTTCATGCATTTTACTTACCCAGCAGAGAAGAAGTATGTACTGCTCTTACAGTGGATCATAGTTGAGGTCCCATGTCAGTTCCCTCACTGAGGTCTCTACCTCAATTCCAAGGGAGCTGATTCCCTCTTCTGGAATCTGAAGCCACTTGCTCTCAAGGGCCTATACAGAGAGGTAAATAAGATGTAATCATTTGTCTTCATTGTCTGTTTCTCTGTTATTTGGAATTACCTAGGACACATACATACCTCTAGACATGTCTGTGAATGCATTTCCAGTGAAACTGAGGACAGAAGACCTATCCTCAAATACATGGCACTCTTTTTAGGGTCTGGAGTCCCAAAGCCTTAAAAATTAGAAAGCAAGGGGCTGAGAAGATGGTTCAGTTGGTAAAAATACTTCCTGTTCTAGCATGTAGGTCTCTCCATCCCTGTCTTGGCTCATTTGCTCAACCCTACTCCATCTCCACAACATAATTCCAGTAATATGGTTCAGTGCTTAGCTATGGGTGTCTGGTTCTGCTTCAAACCACAACTGGATGAAGACTCTTCTTCCTCTCCCTGCCCCCGGGCTCCCACTTTGGTAAGGGGTTCTTGTCCCCATCCTCTTCTTAGAGGGACAATGCAATCTTCTCTTGGGGTCCTCCTTATTTCCTAGCTCATCTGGCAGGGTGGAATGTAGGCTAATGCTCTTTAATGTTTTCTTTATTTTAATTTAATTTGACATTCCAACTTAAGTTCGCCCACCCACCACTAGCCTAGTCTTTTTATGT